GGGCTCATGCAATTTTCTATTGTGTATATGTAATGAGCATGTCATTGGTAGTATGCTAATCCTAGCTAGACACGAGGTCAATGCAGCCTCCATAAATTGCTCAGTAGATTTTCTGTTACCCCACCCCTCTCGCTTTCTTACATAATTCATATTATTATTATTTATATGTATTTTTAGAGAAGAAATTAATAAGGAAATACGCGTGAGTGGGTTCCATATAATTGTCTCTACCTAACTTATTATATTATTTGCTAACAAAGCTAAAAAGAGGCAATTTATTTTCATTTAAATACTCCATAAAAATAAAATAATTGCATGTATTTTATTTATTATCTTAAGTAATTGCTTAAACTATTTTAGTCATGTTGCCAAATAGCAAAGTAATTATCTACATAGCGAACTAATAAATTAGGAACTAGGACCGTCTCTTGAAACAGGAGAACTCCTTGTTTGGCCATTCAATTATTAGCTAAAATAGGGGCTAAAAAGATCCCATATATTAGCAATTACCTTGATAGTTGCGAACTGAACAAATTGAATTTTTTAATTATTTAATTGAGATTTTTATTATTCCTGATAAAGCAAAATGTTCTTCCTCTGTTTGAAAAGCATATATTATATCATAAAATTCGCAAATATCACCATTAACAATTAGGATATATTACATATATCGCGAAAAATTAAAGTAATAATAGAGAACAAAGCCACCAAAACTTTACTCACACTTTAAGTAATAATAAATGCCATGCTATTTTTGAATTGTATATTATAATATTTAAATAATATACTGATTTACATTTTTCTATGATATTTCTTGTTTTAATATATGAACCTGATCTCATTTCCGATTTTCAAAGTGGACGGACTCCCATCCATTTTCAAAATGTAAGTGAATGCGGCAATTCAATTTTTATTATGACACGAGACTTGCGATGTGACTGATCATGTGATTCCTCTTAATTAATGTATGGTTGCATACTTGAATACTATAGTCGACTTACTAGAAAAATACGTCGCTGCCGAATTTTAGTATCATGGCCCAACAAACTGTCAGCATAAAACTCGCTTTGCCGCCAAAGCCCGGCTTTCCTGGCCGACCTAGCGTTGTTCAGGTTCTCCAGGCTAGGCCAGGTCCTTGCGGTCAGACAATAATTCAACAGCGCTCCCCTGGCTTCAAGCAGATCACAGCAATCCGGCCTTTCCCCCAGACGGCAGCCCTACCAATTAACACTAATACTGCCGTTCAGTATCAGAGAAAACCAGCTGAAATGACAAGTTCGTGTCTGACATCTTAAAGTTAATTACTTTAAATTTTATCTTATTTGTGGCTCATTGTTTTCAGTCATCAACCCGGCCGCTCCATTCGTTTCTGCTGCTCCAACTGTTGCCTTCGGTGCATTTGCGAGCCAACCAATTAGTTTGGCCCCTGGAGGTTTACAAACCTTGCTTGGTACAGGCCCTCCTGGATCAAGCACACTAGCTAGCTCCCGCAAGCCCTGTAATTGCACTAAGTCCCACTGTTTGAAGCTTTATTGTGAGTGCTTCGCACAAGGTCAGCTATGCCAGAATTGTAATTGTAACAATTGTATGAATAATCTGGCCTACGAAGAAGAACGGGGTAGAGCGATAAAGATGACTCTCGAGCGGAACCCAACTGCATTTCATCCCAAGATTGGTCGAGGCGAAGGCGAAAGGAAGCATACTAAAGGATGTAACTGCAAACGTTCGGGTTGCCTGAAAAACTATTGTGAATGCTATGAAGCTAAAATAAGTTGTTCCGATCTTTGCCGTTGTCAGGGGTGCAGAAACACTGAAGATAGTATAGAACGTCGTTCTCTCATGCGTTTAGCTGC